AAGGAACATTTTCATTAGCATTTTGTATGTAATTGAAGAAAACAATATTTTAACATTAAGTGGAGACCATCAAATGAATGGTCATACATACATAGCTTAGTTACTCATAACTCAGGTATTTTATTTTTTAAAAAAGGTTGTAGTTTATAAGGTGGTATCTTACTCGTAAAATGTACGTATATTCCATTTTAGTTGGATGATCTACATTTGATATATCTCTTTAGATAATGTCAAAAAGTGACACGTCTTTTAAGATAGTGTCATGTCCATATTGTCCAAATAAAATAAATGAAAGCGTTTTATATACCACAAGGTTGTGGGAATTCATATATACCACTCTCTCCCATTCATCTGATATGCACGGATGACTGTGACAACTTCAACCCTAATATCACAAGTGAGCCTCTTATCGTTTTATCGAAGATCTTATGGCTTAGAGTTTTTTTTTTGTTTTTCTCTATAAATCATATGAACATGAAATTTTGTGTGTGACATCTCTCAAAGGGGTGCACCTAAAAAATATATAAAAATATCTTAAAAATAAAATAACAAAAATATCTCTAAAACCTTTAGGATTATTTTGGTTATTTAATTTATCATAAATAATTTATATATTTTTAGTAGGTGCTACCCTATGAGTGGATGGGGTGCCTCCAATTTGATGTCAATATAATTTGTCAAGAAAATTAAAAATAAAATGGCATTTAGATGTGATGTTATGACCGGGGCCATCTCAATTGTCTATTTAGAACAAATGACTAGGAGAGGGTTGGCATATATGAAATCCCTATCAATGTTTGATTACATGAGCCAGTTCGAGTAAAACGAAACCCAAAAAAGCAAAGCAGGTCTTGAGCAGACTAAAAATTGTTAAAAAATAAAAAATAATTCCAAAACAATATCAAGATTATGTTTACAGTAAATTTAAACAAAACAAATCTAAATAAAGTTAAAAAGTAGTGAAAAAATAGATTTCGAAGAAGGCAATTTGTACATGGGGGTATTTTTTAAATAATCCATGGGTTTATTTTTAGAAATAATCCAAAAAGAGAAAATGTAAAAATAAGTATTCAAGGCCCGAACACTTTCCAATTTTTTTCAAAATAATAGAAAATATTAGAAACTACATTATATACAAATAAGTCTTATTTTTTTGATTTTTTTTTTCCAATATCTTTGAACTTAACCACAAAAATTGGCTAAATTCAGACCAGCCAGTGGCCGGTTCCAATTCCCAGCCACTAGTCGAATTGTCAAACATTGTTCCTTATACGTAGTGGCATATACAAATCCAATGATTTAAAAAATAGATCGGTGACCCATATCGAGCATCCGAAAAACTGGTCAACATTGGTGAATCGATGGTCCAGATTATCGGTTTACATTGTGGTAAAAATAGTGAACCGGTGAAAAACACGTAAAAAACAGTGAATTAGGAAAAGACCCGTCTAGATCGGTGAATCGACAACTCGAAATGCCGTTTTACGGTAGAGAACTGTCGTTTCATTGTATGGAACTGCCGATTGCCTTCTAAACTTCGGTCGTTTTCTTATATATACATAGAATTGGAGTAAGGTGACTGCTTCATGTGTCGGATCTGCAATTCCATGCTAGATTCGGCCTTTTTGAAGTCACTGTATAGATCTTTCCCATAACGTAATGAACCGCTTCCTTCTACAAGTGAGTTTGCAATTTATATAGAATAGTTCTTCTTTTACATAAAAATGTTATATAAGGATGAGGCCCTAAAGCAAACCTCAAAAATTCATTAAAAGAGGTTGTTTTCTTGTTAAAAAATCCTCAAATCGGTCATCTTGACCTTAAGATGTAGGAATACGAAAAAAAATAGATTTAAGTCTCGCAGATAGTGCATTTAGTAATGCATTTTCTGGACCATCAATTTTCAAGATTTTCAAATGTTCATATATCTACTTGATCTACACTAATTTTGAAGTTTTAAATTTTATAAGTAGAGATAAAATTTTTTGAGGGTGCCACCAAGATTTTAAGTGTGGAAAAAGTTTATACAAGGTTGCAACCTTAAAATGTAGAACTACGAATGCACCTCAAAAATCTATTGAAAAATGTTGTTTTAATGTTGAAAAATACTCTAATTGATCATCTCAACATAGACATACACATTATCTAGACCATCTATTTTCAATATTTTCGTATGTTTATAAATCTACTTTATTTTAGCCATTTTTGGAGTTTAAAATTTTACAATTAAATATGAAAATGGATTTTGAGATAATCCTAAGAATATTTTACATCAAAATTATATGTTATAATAAAATTTTAAGGTGTGCTTTAATTGGATTGTTTAAGGTTGCAACCTTATGGAAACCACACCCTTTAAGTATTGAAACAACATATTTGGATACTATTTGAAGGTACGCTTTACTTTGATTGTTTAGGGCCTCAGCCTTGTACAATGAAAAAGTTTATATAAGGGCGATGCTCTAAACCCTTGTTTGAAAAGGCCGACATTTAAAAAATTAATCGACTAAAGCGGACTTGGGCACTAGCCGAGCCCAAATAGGCCCAATTTCATAGGCAATGTAAAGAACTTTGTGAGCCATCTCTCTCTCCCGCACAGTCAGTCTTTCTCTGTGTGGCAAGGGGGTACGTGCCCCAAACTCTCTTTCTCTCTCTCTCTTAGGGTTGGGGTACGTACGCCAACTCTTTTTTCTCCCCCCTCCCCCCCCCCCAACTTCTTTTGGTCTATCTCTTTTTTTTCCTCTTATTTAAATATTTTAAGGCATTGTTTGTGATGTATAAGATATGATCTTCTTCAATTACTAGTTCACTGAAATATATGATCTTCTTCAATTACTAGCTCACTGAAAAAACATTGCTTGATGTACTTAATTTTCTTTTGCCGAAACCCAATTATGCCTATAATATTTTATTGTTTCGTTTATTTTATTTGACAATATAAAAAAACAATACATATAAAATTTAAACATCTTTTACAGTTTTTTTGGGTTTTTTTTTGCCCCCATTTCTTTTTTTTAATATAAAACTTGGCAGCAATCGGCCAACTAAGTCGGAGTC